TCATTTCTCGGGATGATCCAATTCGTTCACTAGTTGCGAATCCATGCACACATAAATTTCATTATAAATTTCCATTCGCGTTGTCCCTTTCTTTGTAAAATCGTTCGTTCAAAAACATATTTTGTTCACTGAAAAAAACGATAGTTTTTTCAAAAGTTCTTTTAACAAATCGTTCATTCAGTAAAAAAATATCGTTTTTAGTTTAATAGAAAAAAATCATGCGTTAAAAAATTATTTCGTTCACTGAAAGAAACGATAGTTTTTTCAAAAGTTCTTTTAACAAATCGTTCATCCAGTAAAAACTTATCGTTTTTCAAAGTTTAATGGAAATAATCGTGCGTTAAAAAATTATTTCGTTGACTGAAAAAAAAAGACGGGTTTTCATTTCTCGGGATGATCCAATTCGTTCATCCATCGTTCTTTAATCTTTCTGAACGACACTTTTCGCATTCCTGAAGATTTTATTCTTTTTGAAAAATTAAGAAAGGGAAATTTTCTACTTTTTTACTTTGAGAAGTAAAATTATAAAAGTTTAAGCGTTCCATCAGTGGCTTGTTGAAAAAATCCCAGGGTTTGGATAGCATCCTCCCCCCCCCCTCCCCCCCAACTCAAGCTGTTTTATGTATCCCGGAACTTGAACTGTAAAAGTATAAACCAGCGGCTCATAATTTCAGTTCCAACCTAAACCCTCTTATCATCACAATAACTTTCTAAAAAGAGGTTGTTTACCAAATAATAAAAAGTCTTGAAAAATCCTTTAAGAGAATAAAAACTTTGAAAGTGCTTCACAAAAAGTGAAGTTTTTCATTATTTATATATATTTTATTAATTGTATATATTTCATTAATTATATGCATTTCATTAATTAACTATAATCCTAAATCCAATAATCAGAGAAGCTTCTCAGTTTTCACATTTATTAATTTCATCAATTATAGCACAGACTAAATTATTTATAGCACAAACTAAACTATTTATATCACAAACTAAAGTTTAGTTCGACTTTAAATTGAAAGAGAAACACCTAAGCTTTGTCTATAGTGAAAGGTGATTTTATGAACACAATGAAGACGACTTTCGATTTCAACTTTGATTTATATCAAGCTTATAAACAGCATGGATACACATAAACATAGAAGTCAAGAGAAGCTGTCAATTAGAAAATCTTCTCTTTAATTAATTGTAAACTTGTTATTTGAAAAAAGGCTTGTAAACAATCAAAAATGAAAAAAGTCGTCTTCATTGTATTGATAAATTTGCCTACCACTGTTTATAATCCTATTAATAGCTGGTAATTCTCCAATTTTTGCAAAACCTTGAGAAAGATTAAAATCGTGACGAGATTAAATAGTTGACATTTATATGCTTTATACGCATGTTAACTGTAGATATAAAAGATGGATCCCAT